TAAATAAGCCTTTGTATGTAAAGTAACCCAGTACTTCACCACATCCTGTAATTTAATCTAGCTGGCATGAACACAAGCTCTTTTGATCTGTACCAACTACCACTATCTTAGTGCAGATCACATACTCCCTATCTAAAACGCTGTAATTAGAGGGCTTAAGCTAGTCTTATTGAATTAATTATTTTTCCTCCCTAAACCAAAGATACATCAATCTCAGTTTCCTTCTTTCTGTGTACTTTTGCATCTGTATTTTGATTAGAAATCTTATGTTTTCAAAAGAGAAAATAGTCTGTGTTTAGTAGGTTTAAGGCCATTCTAATTCAATCTGAGTGCAGAAAAAAGGCATTTCCAGAGCATTTTAACTGAAAGGTGAGTCTAAGTTCACTTGGGCTCAGGCTGCCACACATGCTGCCCCTAAGATCAGCAAAGTGTAATAGAACATGGAAAATTTTGGAGGTTACATTTCTTTTCCACTGTGCTAATGTCACAGTGGAAAACTATAGGATTTTTAGTTGCTGAAAATGTGGGTTAGCCTCAAGACTCTCTTCCCCTTCTCACCCCATCTAGCAAGTAAGAAAAACAAATCTGGCAGCCAGATAGATACCTTGGTCTCTCTGGTCTCACCATGTGCATTGTAATAAATCACTGTAAAATCTCTAACTGTGCCCTCCCTCCCTGCATACATCTGGTCTCAGCAGAATTCAGGCAGAGACAATTTCCCATAAACAGGGCATTGAGCCAGGTAGCTGCCTGTCACTGTCCTTTTAGGAATGTCACTCTTCTGATTTACCAGAGGAAACACTGGGTACTCACCCTTCATCCACCAAGGAACAAGTGCACGTCAGGTGACACTGGCAAGCAGATGGATGTTTGTGCTTCAGTTTATTCCTGCTACACCCTCTTCTGGTAACTTGCTGTCTGCCCACACATGGGATTGCAGATTTATTAGATTACACTGCAAATTCATTAGATTGCAAATTCATTAGATTACACTGCCAAGAAGTGGGCCTCACAATAACAAAATGTCTATTCCAAAAGACCCAAGGTGCCCTTCAGACACATGTGTACTAGACACATGAACATCTCCCAAACTGGTCTGCTTGCCAGATTTTTGGTCTGATTTTAGAGTCTGTATTTTTATCCTGCCAATGGTTTATTAACCTTTTTGTTACAAGTAGCTTCTAGTAATCTTAGTTATATTCACACCAGATTCACAGCAGAAGAATCTAGGCTAAATTTTTTCATTTACATTGTCTTCTGCATGACATCTCCCAAAGCTTTTTCAGTGGCGTTGTTTCAAGGAGATGGAGTTGCCACGGCTGGTCAGTACCTCAGGCTCTGGTTCTTTGCATGACCCAGGCTGTATAGTGATTCCAGTGAGGCCAAGACTACAGGATTTGGCCTCCACTTTGCTCCACAAAGAACACAGACTTTGCAGGAATCATTATGTTGTATGTACAGTGGATGAGATGCATCATAATAATGCAGTAATTATTTTAAAGATGCTTGTCACTTTGACTACTTCGGCAAAAATATTCAGGGTTATTTGCTCTTGTTTCGGGAATGATCGAGAAAAATCAATAATCATTCATAGGCCTCTCAAATTAAATGGTTTCCATTAAGTACCAGATGCCAGTACAGCTTTTTATGGATAGACTTGTCTATAGATATCCATATATAAAATAATAATATATTTTCAGAGTGGCACCAGCATAAACCATTTGCATTATATGAGCTGTATCTCAATCAGATTTTGGCTGGGATAAATGTGAATTAACTCCTCACTCACTGCTCCAGAAAAGCAAACAAGCAGTGCAGCCACTTTAAGCAGAAAATGAATGCTTTTATACCTAATAATCTCCTGAGTGAATTGGCTCAAGAAATTCCAAGACTTGGCACTCAATGTAGGCACTCAGTGGAGGAACTCTATTAACTGAACAAAAGTATAAATCTGTCCAGAGCCAGTAGCAGCAAATCTACAACAAATGTAAACCAGTAGAAGGAGACAGAGCCACACTGTATGACCAGGGAATACAGAGCACAATCTGTACTGCATTAATGCTCTACATGGTTACAATCTTCTACAAACAGAGTTGGCTGAATCTGAACATTGATCAGCACGTGTTGCATTTCCCTTTGATCTTGTAATTGAAACAAAATATTGTGTTTAGGAAATAAGACTCTGGCAACAATTTCTACCTAATATTTGGCAAATCAATTAGTCTATCAATCAAATCCACTCTCTGTATTTCCTGGTCTGTGACATGTGAATACTGAGGTACGAATGAACTAAACATATGTTGTGTTCTAACCTCCTTGTAGACATTTGGCATACTTGAATTGCAAAGTATTATTCTATTTAGGAGTGCAGGTCTTGCTAATTCTCTGTTACCCTTCAGACTGTTCCATTTCTGAATATTTTTTAAAGAAAACTCTCCTAAATTCCCTTTTATTTACAGTGCATAATTTTGTACTTGTACTAGTAAAAATGAGCATGAGGAAATAATTAAGACTGTGTTTTTTGAAAATAAGAAATGTCTACGAAAATGCAGGGAAAAATTTTATTATTACCACAAAATATTTGCACACAGTAGGGATACCATTCTCTACCCCAGTGATTCTACCACCTGTACATGTCCCACATATAGCTGAAAGGCTCTTAAATAATCCCTGTGTTTGCTGCTTTTATAACACACATTTGCAGCCACTTTTGATTGAAACTGAGAAGTTAAACTTTCAAATCTCTTGCAGGAAAAGGAGGGAAGATGTAAACAAGTAACAATGTCATCTGAAGATTTTTAGATATGCTTCCAACTGGGACTAGGGAGAAAGACTCTCATTTGCAGTACACTCTGATCTAATTAGAATTGACATAGTATAGCACTTAGATGATGTAAACCAGCTTATTAAAAGGAAGCTCACTTTTGTGGTATTTTTTTAAAGTATTGAAGGTGCAGGGAAGTGCACTGAAGCTAGATAAGATCCCCAAGTTCTACTCCTGTTTCCTCTAGAGATATAACTCTACTTTCCCCAGCCTTGAACTTGTCCTTCTCCAGACAGGACCCGTTTTTCTCTTTCTCTAGATACTCTGTTGCTGAGCAAGCCAGCTCAGCACATTTCCCTCAAGCAACAGCCAAACCTTAGTCAGCCACATGCAGGCTCCTGGTAACCTACAGCTGAGAGGAGGCCCTCTTAACTATGACAAAGGACTCCAGTGATCTTATCTTGGAGGGGATAGGCTGCAAAACCTAATTTACAATAATCTTCAGATGAGCTTGTGAACAGGAGGCAAAAAGAGGTCTTTGGCAAGCAATGGCAATACTGTTGATGCAGATACTGACCTCTGCTTTACTATTTATCAGAATGTAAACCTGTAAAATGATCTTATCTTTTGGAGCCACAGATGTGTTGGTACAATCTTCCAGTCAGTGAGCTCTTGCAGTGGAGAAATATTAATCCACTGCATTTTGAACCCAGATTTATTTGCTGAAATCTTATAGAATCCTAGAATAGCTTGGGTTGGGAGGGACCTTAGGGTTCCTATAGTTCCAATCGCCTGCCATTGGCAGGGATACCTTCCACTGGACCAGGCTGCTTAGAGCCCCTCCAGCCTGGCCTGGAACACTTCAAGGGATGGGACATTTGCTTCTCTGGACAACCTGCTCCAGTGCCTCACCACCCTCACAGTCAAGAATTTTTTCCTAATACCTAATCTAAAACCACGCTTGCTTTGGATCCATTCCCTCTTGTCCTGTCATCACATGCCCTTGTAAAATGTCCCGCTCTTTCTTGTGGGTTCCCTTCAGGAACTGGAGGCAGCAAATAGATCACCCCTAAGCCACTTTTCCAGGCTGAACCAATTCCCTTGTAGAAGAGGTGCTCTGTCTTTCCAATCCCTGTGTAGCCTCGTCTGGACTAGTGGAGAAACACAGTGGAAAACACAGCAAATAGCACAACTGGAAACCAACTCTCACTTGAGGGTGAGGTGAAGACGTGCAGTGTCAGGCAGGAACCAGTGCCGACCCCCTGGGATGACTCCATGCAATCTGTGGCTTTAGGAGGCCATCTCTACACACAGTTTCTGTCTCCTTTTTTCCAGGAAGCAACTGCAAGAGCTTGGGAACAGCTGGAGATATGTCATACTGGCTGTTTACCTTCTCCACTCAGAGGAGCCAGCCGCTGGAAAGCATGTTTCTGCTTTAAAAGAGCATCTCCCTCCCCACTGTAGAATCCCAGAAGATAAGGGTCCAGTGTATAACTGGATGGCTGTGGAACCAATGACAGGAATCAGACAGGAATCCTATCAGACATGAATTCTTGGTAATAGCAAAGGACCGTTAACACACCGTGAAGAAGAACAAGTTGTGACTGGAGAAGGGGGCCATGAGGAGGTAGGGTACCACTTTTCTCAGACAAACATCCTTGCTTAAGTTCTTGGAGATAAGCACAATAAACCACAATGCAAGCAGAGGAATGAGGCCAAGACGGGCATGGGCTGTAGGAGGGATCAAGACCCTTGATAGAACAGACTGCATGAGAACTAATTTACATAGAAAGAGAGAAACGAGTCTTCAGGGCAGGGAAACCTATCCATAAAAAGGTATCCCTGCCCTGAACATTAGCTAGATCCCTTTCCCTTTCCCTCTCTCTTTTTCTCTCTTCTCCCTTTAATTCTTCTCCTCCTTTCTCTCTTCCCTGTGCCCCTTCCCCTTTCTGCAAAACCCCCTGCCGTGCGCTTTCCGTGCATGTCAGGGACTAACTTACACCAACTCCTATGACGAGTGCATGACTTCCTAATCAAATCTTCTGCTTGTTTGCGGGCCCTATTGCCTGGCTCCCTTCCGACCAAGCGCACTGACGAGATTGGAATCGTTTCCTCTTAAGGCTGCCTCACCACAGCGCCACTTCCGCATCCCGCTCCGCTCCCTGACGTCACCGCCGGTGGCGGGCGCGCTCCCGCCCCGCCGTCGCCGTGCCCGGGAGCCGCACGCGGTGCCCGCCCGCAGGTAAGAGCGGCCGCCCGCGGCTGTGCCCCTTCCTGTGGCTTCGGGCCTTTGCCGAGGCCTTGGGGACGGGGGAGCGTGCTGTCGGGAGGCTGTGCGTGCGCTGTGGGCGCTGCTAGCGAGCATTACAAACGCGGTGTATGGAATCACAGCGTGGTTTGGGGTGGAAGGGGTTTTAAAGATCGTGTCGTTCCAATCCCTCTGCTATGGACAGGGACACCTTCCACTAGGCGAGGGGGCTTAGAGCTCCAACCGGCCTGGCCTTGAATGTTTAATATATGACATGTTTACGACTTGTTTACGCGTACATATAGTGTTATTTGCTTTTCTGGAGGATGGACGTTCTGTAGGCAGTAAACGGTTACATTCCTGTTAAAAATTCGGAAAATAGTGTTGCAACTTGAGGAGCCTTGAGAACTTGGCGAAGTTTTTCTAAGAGAAGGTACAGCGTGCATATACTGGCCGTGAGCACAGTTAAGCAGCACCTAACGAAGGGCAGGTAGTAGTTAAAGTTATGAGTACCTTGTAATGAAATTTCTGTAGCTCTTATGTTGCTGCTAAGGTCAAAATGTCCCCTTCCTTATACTTTGTCACAGCTTTCTGACCACAAGCTTAGTTGCTGCCAGCATTGTGGAATGGACTTCCACTAGCAAATTAAACTTTAAATGCTGCCAATTAAAAGGCCTCATTTTGAGACAAACAAAAATGGAAGAACTGGATTTTAGAATCAACACTGAAATGTGTCTGCCACGTTTCTTGGTTTTAAAAGTATAAAAAAACCACTTCAAATCTAAAATACCTGGCTATTGCTAATCCTGTGGCAGTATGACCACTGGTAAGGAAATGAGAAAACACTCAACCCAAGGCTCTTCTCCAGAGTGTGAGAAACTTGAAATTGGTAGAATTTTCAGGCTTCATGTCACAAAAGCAGTGTACAAGTTACACAAACCTTTATGATAAGTGCCTTTCTCTTTGAAGTGGCCTAAGATTTTTAACATTGTTTTTTCATCTGTGATCCGCTTTTCCTTAAATAAATAAACAGTACACCAGAGTGGACTGGTCACCATAGCTCCAGGTAGATATTTTTTTCCCGCATCAGTAAAATTGATGCTTAGAACACAAATATCTCACAATTACTAAATTATATTGAACCAAAAAAAGGGTAAACATGCTTCTAATAGTGAACAGCCAAATAAAAATAACAGCACAGCCGAGTAAGAACCAGTCAAAAATACATTTTGAATTGCTGTTCAAAATGGTACAGAGAGGCACTACACAGATTGCAAATACAGAAAACTGCATTCTAGTAAAGGGAAGTGCTTTTACGTGTATTGTGGAACCAGTGGCTAAAGGAAACTAGGTCAGCAGTTTAAAAGGATTGGAAAAACCTCTTGGCTTTAATTCTGGATATTCATATTCATGGTGTTGATATCAGTGGAGAGTGGCAGCAGGTTTAAGAAGTAGTAAGCTCTCCATAGTTTATACAGGAGGTACAAACTGCAGGCAGGTAATTTCCTGTTGGCTGGAAATTTGGTAGGACAGAAGTATTCATTATTGATTGTTGTCCGCACTGTGTGTAAACTGATTTGTCCAAGGAGACAGTCTTGCTGCCCAAGAAGTTCCTGATAGGTTCAGTGCCAAGAAAAGGATATGTTTTAAAGATCAGTTTAGAGACACAAATTTAGTATCACTTTAGAGTGAACATGAACTGAAGTGTGGCAGCATATCTGAGTGTGGGAGCTTTTATGAAAACCTCTCATGAAGAAGTGTTCTGCACATACCTGAAGAAAGCTGTTTTTGTTATTGTACTTATGCTGGGTGTACTGATGGGTTGGAGCTGAACAAGAAGCAGGTTATATTGGATTTGTTCATAAAAAGAAACCACTGTGTCATCCAAGATGTGGAATTTGGGACAATTGATTACAGAGAGTAAAAGTGGTTTATGAATTGTGCAGATGGAGTTGAAGTTTTACATGAGTGGATATAAATGGGGCTGTGGTGAATGAGGGATGTTTAATCCAAGCTGTTTTCTCATAGGATATCCACTATTGGCTGAAGTGTAAATGAGCCTATAATACTATTCTCTCCCTTAAAATTTTAATCTTTTAAAACAGATTAGAATAAACTTTGCAAATCTGCGGAAGCTCAAGTGACTCAGTGGCACCAGCAAAAGATTGTCAAGTGTGAGCTGTTTTGTAGGATGGCTCTGTGCAGGATTTTTTGGTGGCTGGAGCCTGGATTTGAAGGCAAGGATTTCTTGAGGGCTGTTTACCAGTTGTACTACAGTGCAAATTATGCCCCGCTTAACTACCGTGGCTTGAGCTGGGATATTTTTAAGGGGATCAAGATAAGCCTATTGGTGTATACATGATATTTCATTGTAGACTTTTTTACTTTTGCAATGGAAATCTTTCTCGCAAACAGAACTGTGAGTTTGCATTGCAAGAGTTCTCTAATTGTACTAGATTTGCTCTCCAGCTGCCCCAAGCAGGGTTGCAAGGACAAAGCAACTGTGGGCACAGTGATGACTAGTGGGCAAGTAATTATTTATTATGAGCAATAATACATGTCTGTCACAGATTAGAGCCTCTTGTACTCAGAACTTTGCAAACATGGATTTCTCTGCCCTAAGGAGGTTTGTTGCCAAATAACTTAATTCTCATCTCTGGCAGCTTTAAATTTAAAATGCTCATTGTTCTGTTGCCCTACAGCCACGGCGGTAAACTACAGTGTTAGAGGAGAAGTTACACTTTGCTGCACTTGCACATCAGCTGCATTCACTGCAGTTGTGAGTCAGAACACACAGAGGGAGGACAGTGCCAGTTTTCAGGAGCTGACAGAGATGGTTTATCATATCAATGACGTTCATGAGTTTATTTTGAATTTGAGAGCAGTTTTATGTGTCCGACTGAAAGGTTTTGGGTTTGGTTTTGTTTTCTCTAGTTTGTTTTTTTCCTCTATGCAATCAGTAAATATCCATGAAAAGAAGAAATAATTTATTTACCTAATCTGATTTTTATTACGTGAAAAATCTGAAAAAATAAAGGATCTGAGCTAAGTATGAAGAAAAGGCCTTTTAGTGTTTAAGGAATATGCAAGAATTAACATGATGAGTGAATTGCAATATTTAGCAGAATGCTAAATCGCTTTTTGTCTTCTGTTTACATGTTACAAAATATTTCAATTACACCATTTTTATCCCAAACTTGCAGTTTTAATTCCAGTTGAAAATCACGTGCATGATGCTAACACTGAGCATTTTTCATTTCTGCTTAAGTGGTTTCTTATTACCATGTTGACAGATGCATGTAGCTTCTACTATGTTCACCATGTATCTTCAGCAAAATCTCTCATAGAGGTACTTATGGCCTAATTAGAGTGTACATCTTTCAGTGTGTCAGGGCTTTGCTGGGGGCAGAGAGGGGTGTGAGCAGGGAGGGAAGTTTGGTTTTGCTTTTTAAGCCAGCTGGCAATTGCTTTCTAAGGCTTGTGTTAAATTACCTCTAGATATATTAAAAGATTATTCATAAAAGCCACCTGAAAACTGACTACAGTTTGCTAGTGGTATTGTCCACAACCATCTGTATTCTGTTTGTTTTTATTTAAAATACAACCAAGTTAAATGCCATATGAAGGTATCTCAGATTAATAGCCACGTTAACACTACAGCAAACTGCTTTGATTGTCACTTGTGTAGTTGTTTTGATCAAGTCTGCAGAGGATGACATATTTTCTCTTTCTCCTTTTCATATTTGTGTCTTTTCTGTGGTTCATTAATAATGTCTGATATTTCCCTCCCTTTTTGCAGTTTGTATTACCTACTTTGGTTTATAGTATATCAATATGTTGACTGCAAAGAGAACAAGGTGTTCCTTGTGTTCTAAGCAGAAAATGCAGTCATCTTTCTGAATAAATGAAAATTTATTCAGAATTTTTCAGAAATTTCAGAATATTCAGAAATTTTGTACCTATGGAAACTAACATTTTTTTAAACAGACCTAAATGCAATGCATAAATTTTCTCATGAAAATTGTTTACTTTTGCAATCTAAAGTCCTTTTCTTCCTCAAATACATATTCTATGGGGTTTTCCCCCAAAAATTACATGGCAGCTCAGGGTTATTAAAAAGGAAGTTTGTTTCTGGTATGTTTGTGTTAGGAAGTTGTACAACATTTTTCATCAGTTTTTTTGCCTCTGTGTCCTTCATCAAAGTAGTCAATTTCTTTTTTTATTTTATGTTTATGGGTTATGGACCTTTCTTTGCATTCTCAAAATTTTAAAGTGTTACCATTGTAACACAACCACAGGTTATGTGTTATGCATCATAGGTCTTACTGCTTGATAATGAAAATTCTGTCTTATTTCCCATAGAATTCCCCATTGTTTGCCTTACTTACCTAGCTAGAATTTTTCATTACTTCTCTTATCTGAATATTTCTACTATCCTTAATTTTTAAAGTGAGAACTCAGTGCCAAATAAAATCTGGTTGAAAGTCAATAAATTCAAATAAGAAAATCTGTCTAATTAACATTGTCTTCAGGGACTGACTTAAGTTTTTGCTTATTCAAAATACAAAAATAAACACTTGAAGAACTTTGAGGAAAATTTTGTTTGTTATTTAATAACTGAAACATAACTACTGACGGCAGTATAGGTTTTGGGTGTATGTTTACAGAGTCATGGAGTTCCCTGCTGTCTTTGGCTTTGTCATTGTGCAGGTGTGAGTACACAACCCATATGTTGATTTTGGCAGAAACAGTTTTGTGGAGTTTCTAGTATACACTTTTTTAATGTAGTTTGCTCAAAATTATTTTAGGCTGTTGACTTGCCTCATTGTTGGTATGTATATCCTGCTTAATTAGTTATGCTGAAACAACAGTATAGCTAATAATAACTAATAACAGAAGTCTCTACACAGCAGGAGTAGGAACTTGCTAGTTCCTGTTGAAGTGAACAGAAAACACAAGTTTAATAATTTCTTCCCTCTCCCCACGCAGAAGCAGCAGACTTATCAGTGAAGGGTTCTTTACACAGGCTAAAGGGCAGCCTTCTTCCATTGAAGTTCCATTGTTGGAGTTTAAGATTTTTCCTTTTCTTTCTTTTGTCTTTCTCTCATGGAATTTTGTCCCATTTGTTGTAAGAGACGATAACAACCGATACTTATGAGAGACAAAAGAAATGGCCAAGGTGGGGGAAGGATGCGGCTGGCTACTCTCTTACCTGAGGGGCTTTTTCTTGGGAAGGGCGGAGATATGGTGAGATTCTGGCTGGGCCGTGAGGGGCTGGGCTTCACCCTGGCTCTCTCTCTCTCTCTCGGCATCGGAGGAGGGACAGAGGAACAGTCGGTGTGTGGTCGCTGCCCGGAGGATTTGCTGCCACTACAGAGCTTTTGTCCTCCCACTGCTTCTCCTACTGCAGGTGAGCCTTTGCTCGTAAGAGCAGCTGCTGATGAACACTGGGACCTAATTAACACCCGATCCGGCTGGAAAGGACCTTCACAATCTACTGGGGTAGCTCAGGGGAAAACCCGGGACCCGACCCTCTCCCCCTTCCCGGAGGGCGCGTCTCCCCGGCTGCGTGCGGGGCTGCTGCTGCCCAGACTCTCTCAGTGTTTTCTGACACTGCCTCGGGCTTTTTTTGCTCCACTCTTACCTAGCACCCCGTGTCCACCCGACCCCCCGAAGCTCCTGCTAAAGCTGCTGGAGTTTCCGTTACATTTTCTTTTGCCCCCGGGTGTGCCTGCCTCTACAGTCCCAGGCGCCGCTCCGAGGTTCCTGCTGCAGCCCACCTCGCCATCCAGCCCGCCCGCCATTACCACGTGAGGGAAACGCGGCTGAGCTTCCATGCCCGGCCGGAAGCCACCAGCGCCCCTGGCGGCTGTGGCCGGAACTGCACTGAAGGGAAAGTGCCCGGCAGCCGAGAGAGGCTGCGGCTGGGTTTGTGGTTGTTTCGGGTTTTTGTGTTCTGCCATTGTTGTTTTTGTTTGCCTTCTTATCCACATACATACTAGTAAAGGTCTATTATTCCTTTCCCATATCTTTGCCTGACATCCCCTTAATTTCAAATTTATAATAATTTGGAGGGAAGTGGGTCATATTTTTCCATTTTAAGGGAGGTTCCTGCCTTCCTTAGCAGACACCTGCCTTTCAAGCCAAGACAGATTTTTCCCTTTCCTGGCTAATCGTGTCGAGTAAATATTCAGTAAATATGAGGATAAACGTAATTTTTTTTGGTTCATGAGACAGCAATGATAACAAAATGTATTTCAGACTGTATTTGTTATCTTTTCCTTCTATGTTCCTATTCTTCTGTCTTATTCCTTAATTCTACCTTGGTATACTGAAAAGAATTTCAAATATGTGACTGCTTATCCTTGTAAACCAGCTCCAGTTAATTTTGGTAACACATACTTGCTATAGACTTTTGTTAGTTCTCCTTTTTATTCTTGCTGGTGCTGGATCCACTGATTAAGGGAGAGAGAGAAGTTGGAATTTATCACTGTGTTCATGCCTGCCTGTCAAATCAAGACCATAGTAGGATAAGTATTGCAGTGATGGAAAGATCTGTAAGTGATTGTTGGATTGGATTACCCTTCTCCCTGTTTGTGTAAGTGTAGGTAACATGTTGACAGACACCTTCTAACCAAACTTGGCTGTACTAACAACCAGGAAAATATCGTTTCTTTTGTAGTTTTGAGGGGTTTTTAATGCTGTATTATATGACCAAAAGTTAATAACAAACATTGTTTCTGAACCCTTTTAATCAACCTAACATGGCAGATTATAAAGCAGGTGGTCAGGAGAGTAGAACGAAACACAAGAAGTGTTATTGTCAGAAATAATTGTATTGGTATGTTGCCTTTCTGTGGGCAGCATCTTGTGGATCCAGCTCAGCTTTCTTCCTTGGGTCTGCCACAGCTGACACAAGTAATACTTATGTGTTTGGTGTGTGGGTTACATGCTGGGGTGGGGAGGGGACCTTTAGCATGGTTGGCATTGTGATTCTGTACTCAGTGTGAAAACCAGCTCTGAGCAGGATGAGCAGTCATGCAGCTGAGTAGGATTATAATTCTTAACTGTGCAAACAATAGCAGTGCAACTGGGCTTGTTAACTGCCTGATCATATTTCTGAAATCACGTGGTGTGGTTAAAACTGAAGTTGCAGGCAAGCTTGAGTAGCTTCACACCATTTTTTCTCCCAATCGTCTTCTTTTTTGACCTCCAAGAGACAATATAAGTAAAATTAAACCTCTCTCACACATCCCAGGCTCTTGCCAGGGAAAGATCAAATCGTTATCTAAAACAAACTGCAGTGATGTGACAGCTCTTTGCTGTTTGTACCGACTGTGTGGCTTGGTGTTCATAGATAAAGTGCAGTCTCTTTGATTTCTGTTCCCTCCCTCTGTACTCAGCACCTGGAGGGTGGGATTATCACGCTGAGTCTAAGAAAAGACTGCAGTGATCCAGGTGCTCCCACCTTTCTTGATTCAGCTCACCAAATAGGCAGGGAAATTACATATTTCTTCTCTTTTTTCCTTAGAACATTCAAAAAGTTGTTGCTCAGTAGATGTTGTAGAAAATAACATAGCTCTAAGTAGCATTAACTCCCCAAGATATAATCCCTGATTTATGATATGAGAGGAATTAAAGATACTGATTATAAACTAGCAGGCAGATGGCTTGGCAGTAGCCATACCATGGTACTGTGAATTCTGGGAGCAAAAAAGGGTGCTTTGGGATTTTTCACATCTTATTTCCTAGTTGCACTGATGTGTTGACAAGATTGGAAGAGTATTCTGAAATCCCAAAATCAACTCAACTTTGTTACAGGTAGAGTTATATTGGGGATTTTTTGGATCTACTCCTAAATGAACTGACCATGACATAACTAGTGCTGAAGTAATGTCTCTTCCTAAGACAGACTGTATCCCCATTGGTTTGGTTTGTAGTTTGGGGGTTTATTTTGTTAGTTAGATAGTTTTGGTTTTGTTTTTCCTGGTGTCCTGCGTGCTGCTTGGTGTAGCTCTTTATATAGTGTGATTTATAGAACACCTCTTTTAAACATGCAAATAATTTCTTTCTATCACAGATTATAAAAGCTAAATACTGTTTTAGGACCGTTGCAAATATAGGCACTAAAGTCGTGTGAATTGTAATGCTCCGTCATGCCATTTTGTACAGGAGTTAGGAGATATCCCTGAAATTGCAGAACCTTTTACAGTGTTGCTGCTGATATTATCTGCAAGAACTCTTCACATGTAGGCATTTCTTGTAACGAATCAATGCTAATGCTTTGTGTTGTAAATTGCAGTCTTTTAAGTACCTACAGTCTGTAGGTACTTAAAGAAAAGGATTATTATTTTTGTTTCCACTTTCCAGATGGAAATGTCACAAGATGATAATAACATGGAAGAATACCCCACTGAAATTCATGATTATCTCACAGCATTTGAAAAGTCCCTTGGTTCTGTAGATGAGATGCTGAAGACAATGATGTCAGTTTCTAGGAGTGAGCTTTTGCAAAAGGTAACTTATCTTCCTTTTGAAACTCTTGTTAATACACAAATACTTGAGAGCCTGAACTGAAATAAAAGGTTCTGTTAGGCCAGCCACTGAGAAATAAAAAAATGACACTCCTAAGCTTGACACTTACTGTTAAGTCCTTACATTTCTAAGAAATCCAGATGGTCTTACAAGCTCAACAATGCAACACATGTTCTTCCAAGCTGATAAGTGATAACTTTACCAGTGAGACATTTAGCTCAGGGACATTATAGCTTATTCCTGGCCTTTCTTAAGATGCTCATCCATAATGGAGAGGTCACTCAAATTTTTTGATTGAGACTTCTTCACAGCAAACTGAATGGAACTGGTGTACCCAGCAGGATGTGAAGGTGAACTGGCAGAAGTGAAAATTGATCTGATTCCAGAAGTCTAGACTTGCAGAACCTGAGCTGTCTCCTCTAGCTATGCTATAAGTCTGCAAAATGTGGCTTTTTATTAGAGCAAGGTAGTGCCTGAGAATTTCATATAAGGATCTCTGTCTTACAACATTTTCAACCTAATGTGTAATTTATTTCTGTAGGGCAACAAAAAGGCAACACATGAGGGAACTTCTTTATCCTGTGAGGATTTCTTACACAAATAAATTATGAAGAAAATGGTCATGACAACACAGATCTTTTGACAGTATCCATGTTAGAACTAGTGAGCTCTACAATGATATTATCAGAGTTTCTGGAAGTCGTGTAGCACTAAAATAATAAATTGACTTAGACAGTTAAGGGAAACAAAAACCCTTTCATTACCTTTATCCTTCCTTTGCTTTATTTCCATAAGTATTCTGGCATGCATTGAAGACACAGTCTGCCATGTGTCATGTTAACATTCATTGATTGTATATTGATGTTTGTGTTTCAGCAACTTTTAAACTTTTTTTTCCCTTCCATTGATAGCAACAACTATTTTGAATTAAGTTTCTGTGGAAAAAACAGGGACTTAATTTCTGATTATGGGAGCAGTAGTCTTAAGAGCTACATGCTAAGGGATTGTGCTTTTGGTGTATGGGACTGTGGCATTTAACTTCAGACTGGGAGGATTACATGAATACTTGGAGAGGAGAGAATGAATGGTCCTGTGATGGCATGGAAATAAGGCATAAACACAGTCTCAGTGAGCTTGTGATGCAAAAACGTGCTCCTTCAATGTGTATTTTATTAATACATTTGCAATTATAAAATGTCCACATTATCACAATCTGTGCATATCTTGCTTAAAAATCTTCAAATATAATGGGTTTTTTTTCATTCTAGTTAGATCCTCTTGAGCAAGCAAAGCTGGATCTGGTTTCGGTGTACACATTAAATTCTATGTTCTGGGGTAAGTATGTGGTATAAAGAAAAACATAGTATTTATGATTAGCATTCAAACATCTAGACAGCCACAAACACTAAATAATCATATCTCATAGCCAAATAATTAAAAACCCTGAGGACCCACATTATTGCCATCCATAGGGTAAATGATGTTGAAATTTTGAATCAAAAATCTATATTTAGAAAAGCTAATTTTGTATGTGCGTGAGTATGTTTCTGGTTCCTTTGTGGCAGCCTTTTCTGTTCTTTAAAGGACTGAAAGTTTAACCATTTTAGTTGTTAAATTTTAACCATTTTAGTTGTTGGGGGTATTTTAGCTGCAATATTTATTAATAATAGTTTGTCAGATACTTAATGACACTGTTAACAATTCTTATTAATGATTTTTTTTATGTAGAAGTCTTGGTTTTCCTATGTGACTGCTTGGTAGGGTCTTCAGTCATAGATAGCTTTCAGTTTCAAAACAAGCTTGTTTTTTTTTCTTGTAGTATACTTGGCTACCCAGGGAATCAATCCAAAGGAACATCCAGTGAAACAAGAGCTGGTGAGTTGCTTACACTGCATGTGTCCTGCCTGTGTAGGATGGTTAGCCCAAATGGAAGTTTAAAAATGTTTATATCTACATTTAAAAATGATGCAGTGCTCTAAGAGCGTGCATGTGCTGCGTGGTGTTACATAACTACTTCTATGCCCTGCTGGGCTCCTTAAATTAAGAAAGTAAATTTGTTTGCTCTTAATCAGTACTGTTTAAAGTAACGTTGTAAGTCTGCTGAAATTAGAAAAGGATGATGAATGATATCATCTTATCTTTTCTTTTTTTCCACCTTTGGTCGAGAATTGGATTCTGTGCAGAGCAGCTTTTCACTTGTATCTGTTAAATGGAAAAGTGTTACAGGCCTGATAATAATTTATAACTTCCAGTATGGCATTTTTTTTCTTATAAATACTTGGAATCATGTTAATCTCTGAGGCTGCCTTTTCCTACTTTTGTATGACTCTAAAAGTACAGTGTGGTTGATTTACTAGCAAAGACGGGAAAGTGCCCCCCTCCCCCTTCCAAGCCCTCCAATAATTCATTTTCTCAGCAGTAAAGAATCCAGTTCTGCAACAAAGCTAAAAGCTTTTTTGGCACCAGTTGTATGTGTATTGTCCAGTAATTCTGCATTAGTGACATATTTACGACCTATAATAAATCTTTAGTTTTGTCTTCATATTCCATTTAGATGCATGACTACAGCATCAAAAGCCAGCTATCTTGAAAATTCTGCTGACTTAAAAACCTGAATCATTTAGCCTGAAGAAAAAACAGAAATCAAAACTTCTCACTACTCATTTTAATTCCTGAATAAATGAAAATATTAAATCTCAGCAGATGTAAAATAGTTAGCTTAAATGTAATCCTTACGTTACCAGTGGAATGGGAGAGAGGACTAGAAATGCGGAAAGCTGGCCTGAATAACAAGAATACTTCTATTTTAAAATTTGTGACGTTTTCAGTAGTCTAGACTGTATCATATTAAAAAATGCATCAGTTAATACTTTGTGAGCTTTGTGTCAGTTTTTTGTTCCTCCTATATTATGTAGTGTTTGAATGTCGTGTTAATTTAGTGATATTCCAACTTTTATCTCTTCTGCTGTGGGTATTTTATGTTTGTATTTTGCTTCACAACTGCTGTTTTAGCTCTGAAGAAAGATTGAATATTTTCATAGCCTAGTTTGTTACTCAGGTCTCTTTTCCCTTTGCAAGTATGAAGATTGAATGAATGCACATTTCTTCCTTCCAAAGACATTGTGATATTCTTATTCATGTGGAAAGGGAATTAAAAAAGACTGTTCGGTCATGATTATTTTGTTTGCAGAATTGCTGTCCTTGTGCACATACAGGTATTCAAACTGTATTACTAAAACTCACACTCAGGCTATCAGAATTAATTTCTTTTGTCAAGTTGACATTTTCCAACTCCTTTTTCCCATGTTAATGCATGTAGGTTTGCCATCTGTTCTCATTAGCCATCTCAGTCACCAAAGAAATATTATGTCTGATCATGATTTCAGACCCTGTAAAGCCCTCCTTGTTAAAGCTGTGTTTTTGATACAGAAGGAGTGGCCAAGTTTGACAGTTGCTTAAAATGATCACTGAAGAGTTGAAAATCAGTTCTGTAGTGTAAGTCTTGTAACTTTTGTTCCAGATTCAAAGAGGTGGCAATGGCTGTGAGAAATGTGAAAAATATCAAAATTTATTTTGGCAATATCCACACATGTTCTGTTAATCCACATTCATAATGCAGGTATCAGAACACTACGTATATGTGCGTATATATATTACTGTTGTTTGTATGACCATAACATCCAAAGGCCCTACAGTTAAAGGCTATATTAGGCTAAATATGTAGATTTGAAATCTGTAAACCAAATTGTTAAATATTTTGCAGAGTTACTGTAAGTGTACTCGCTCATCAGTGAAGAGAAGCAGGCACTTATCAGAGGGGGATTCCCATCTTAAAGCTGCTTACTACCCTCTCAAAGTAATTTTCTTTATTTGTTGCAGGAGCAGATGAGGATGAGTAGGCGCATAAATGAGATTGTTAAGCTGGGAGGGTATACTTCTGTGGGGCTGAGTCCAAGTTGTGGTTTGGTCAAAAAAACCCCCCATAAACACCAAATAACTGATAGGCTAATATATGTCATATAGGCATGCCCTTTTCCCTGGAAATAGCCTGTATTGTTATTTATGGCCATAAAATGAACTTTGGATATGGCTGGAAATTCATCAGGTTGCCCTAAATAAGTTCTTTTATAAGACATCTTGACCATTTCAGGAACTTAAACCTTAAACTTCTGGGGTACAGGCATGTGTGATGCTTGTACCATCTTTGATTTTGTGTAAGATGCCTTTTTCCTTTTTAGCTTTGCTTGGACTTGCTGATTTTTTTTTTTTTTTGTGGACAGAAGAGATAATGCATCCATAAATGTCAAATACCTAAATATTATTTTGGCATCTTTATGTAGGTCAAACTCCAAACTGAGTTAATTATTTTATTTTCTAACTTTGCTTGCAAGGACAGTTCCCATCTCTCTGCAAATTAGATGCAGAGACTGCATCTCTGTAGGACTTTGTGTTCCTGTTATAGCGGGTGTCATGCAGATGGTGGGGTAGGTTCCTGTGATGGAAAACATGCTTAAGGAAAGTCTCAAGTTTGCAAAGGGCTTGTTATATTTATTTCAGTAATACTATTCTTCTAGGTATTATAGTTCTAGAAGTGTGCAGTGTGGAGAACTTCTACTCATTGATTCATTTTAGCAGCAATCTTGGGAGAATGGTTTGAAATACTTTTCCTTTTTTTTTCTCCCTAGGAGAGAATAAGAACATACATGAACAAGGTCAAAGAAATAGCAGACAAGAAAAAGGCATCCAAACTCGATAAAGGAGCTGCTTCTAGATTTGTAAAAAATGCACTCTGGGAACCAAAGGCAGAAAATGAACATACTTTCAAAACTCCTGCTAAAGGAAAAAAGAGACAAAGGGACTAAATCTTTTTTTCCCCTCATAAGAATTGTGGACACCTAAAACTTACTTGGAAATGTTTTGCATACTGCATGCATCTCACAGAAGGGCTGTATAACAGATTAATTTATACTTACAAATTTTACAGGATTGTATTTTGTCCAGAACATTTGTCACTGCGGTGATCACATTTAATGTGTATCTAAAAGTGCCATTTGATGCACATTGGACATTTCATTACTCACATGATAATAACCTGACATATACTTGCTGGTAATAAATACTAGTGATGTTTTGTTTATAATGCCTATGAATTCAGTTTTTTAAGTGATTTATTGACGCTTTTTTATATGTCCTCAGTCTCCTCAATATTAAAAAGTTTCAAACACTGCTATCCAGTCTGTGGTGTTTACAAAGAGCATTGTGTGAAATGCCTTCTTTTTAGAGTTTTTAAGGTTTATTCACTGTATTAAACTCTTTTCAACTTGAAGGTGTGCCATATTTCCTTACTTCTGTTGCCTCTGAGAAAGCAGGGCTTTAGGGCCACAAGCAAACACCCTGGATTCTCCTCTAAGCCCCTGTGTCTAGTCAGTGGAAAAGTTACATATCCACTAAGGCAGTTTGTGGGGTCCAAAGGAAAGGAACAGGATGGGATTGGCTATTAGGGAACAGCACTTGCAGGAGCTTGATGGAATTTTGGCTGCAGTGCTCCTCCCTTAGTGCTAATGCTGGGAGAAATGTGCTCTGGGGTGGTAAGAGTGTGGCCATCTATTGGTGTTTCTCAAGTCTTCATTAGGGAAAGCATCCTCTGGTGCAATAAAAACTACTGCTCCATCTTGGAAATACTGTATTTTTTCTCAAAATGTGAAGATTAGTTGTTTAGGAAGGGTGGGTGTTAGGTGGGTTCAGTTTTCAGTATGCTGCAATGCAAAGCTCAATTATCTGCCCAAAAGCTATTTAACAATTAGCAAGGAATTAACAATTACAAAGGAAAAATAGAAGATTTAGCTCAAAAAATGCAGTATGGGTAGCAGTTCATTCAAATGTTTGGGAAATGTTGTTAGTATAAAATGATAACAAAGCTCTGGTATTGCAAGCTGAATGATGTTCAGTGGATGGTTGTTGTCCTTGGCATTGCACTGCAGGCAATGCAGAGTGTGAATTAAACTGAATTAGGTCTTAGAATGAAGGTTGAAGGTTTTTCCCTAATTGTTATCTAAAAATACACATTTGAAAGGAAAAAATCAATGCATTGACAAGTTTATTAAACTCATTACATGTCTAGAAACTTTTTTAGTGACTGGTAAGAATTTACATATTTTTGTTTACAATAAGCTCTTCAGGTAAATAGCAATGCCTTCAATCCATCTAACAAGAGAACTATTTAGATGTGGAGATGTGGGTACCTAACCTTGCTGCCTCAAATCCACAGGACTGCTTATGTGAGTATACATGTCAAAAGCCTGTAAAAACCTAAAATGATGGTGCTTTGTTTCTTCAGGTTAATGTCATGGTTGTGTCAAATGAAGGAGCTATTGGACTTGAGAGTCCGAAAAAATAGGAGAGTTGGGAGAGTTGTGTTTTGGTTTTTTGTTTTTGTTTGGTTTTTTGTTTTTGTTTGTTTTGTTTTGTTGTTTTGTTTTGTTTTTTTTTTAGTTAAGGTTTAAAATTTGAAAGACCCAAAGTGTGTCCTTGACCAAAAATAATACATTTATGTGAAGCAGTTCTTCTAAATGGGTCTGGATGGTATTTGCTTGGAAGGCTGTGTGCCCTGTCTTGTACCCCTTTCAATCTGACACTGCAGATGGCAGTGTTAGACGGTTTTAAATAGACTTAGGGACTAGGTGTGAGTGTTGAGGTCTGCATGAGGTTCAAAATGTTAATTACAAACCCACTGATCTAAAAAAAGAAAAAAGGGCAGGTGTTCTTTGGACTAGTGGGGAAGACGATTGGAGGATAGTAGTGGTCTGAAGTAGCACAAACCAGAGCACTTTAATATAGAAATTTTCTATATTATCTTCTGCTTTGAGAGGCATTGTCTTTAGGAAATGAGCAGCTCAGCTTGTACTTATGTGCAGTGCTGTTAATTAAAGGGGGATTGGAGAACGTTTCCATTACATTATTTTCCTCTTAAGCTTCAATTATAGGTTTTGTTTTAAAAGGATAATTTCTGAAAAGGATCATAATTCATTGTCCTGTAAAGTACACAGGTTTCATTGGTAAATATTTAAACAAGAGTAATGCAAGGCTATTAGCTGAGACTTACTGAGGTAGAAGTCCATCTGGCATAATTAATTATATGCAGGTATTTGACATTTGTAATAGGACAGTTTAAATAGATATAGCATGTGCAATTTTGTAATTTTTTTTTTTAATTACATCATTCAGTACAGCTGTTAATGGTGTGGATTGCAGCTTTGGTTTTTAGACACAACACAGACAAATACCCTACAGATGAAGAATCCTCACCCTGTGCTTATTATTCATGAACAGCCATATTTGAAAGAAACTTGAAATCATGATTATGAATGCTAAGTGGTTTTTATATCATTGAAGTGATTACTTTGTTAAAGATTTTGTTTTGATTCAGACATTTAATGAGTTCTTGGAACTTTTCTTTCTTTGCATCAAGGAAGTGGTGAGGTTGGTGAGGGCATATGAAGTTAGCAGCTGGGACTAGAATTTGGTGTCAGGTCACATGAGGAATTTTCCAAGTTCGCAAAAATATATTTCAGAAGAGATGTGAAAATGCAGCTCCGGGTGTTAAATCCCACTTGTGTTAGTGGCAAATAATTACATAAAAATTGCAATGTGGCATTAACTGTCCTAGCAATTAAGGAGATTTTTACTGTAACAAAATGAGTATCTGACATGAGAAACGAGTTGTTCTCTGAGCTGTGTGAAGTTTCCACAGATCTACTCCTAGAAAACATTTCTCTGACAGAGTTTACTGTGGCTGTGAACAAAGGGGGAATTTTCCTAGGGCTTCAATTTCCAGCCTTAAAAGTGCTTGCCATATGACTTGGGAAGTCAGCATATCAATGAGCCTCATTTCTACTCCTTCAGTATTTTAATTCCTGGAGAGCTGCATTCCTAAGAGTTTCCTGGAGAGCTGCATTCCTAAGATTTTTATTAAATAATCTTATTTTTCCTGGCTTTGAAAATCAGTGCTAGCATAGAGCTTTGTCAAAAACTGTCAGTGTTGCAGTTATATTGAAAATCTCCTCAAACATATTTATCTGGAATAATAAAAGCTAAGCAAACAAAATTCTTTCAGGATTAGGAACTTTCTTGGGTTTAAGAGGGTAGACTGCTACTCAGTTTTTAACTGCAGGGCTGGGAATATTACAAATGTAAAGGGAAATCCTAGTTTTCATAGTAAACTACATACATTGCCCAGGAAGTGATGGTGACCTGTTTCTGCAGCACTAGAGGGAGAGACCTTGGTTACCTGGATCAAGATTTGTATCAGCTTTTGGGAGTCATCCACAGGAAACTCTAGTGTGTAACTGGAAACATGGGTAGAGTTGCATTGGTAGAAGTGGCTCCTGTGGCACGAGATTTCCAACTTAGAAGTGGCAAAATAATTGAAAGTCGTTGCACCCCAAATGTACACGTTACTAGTTTCTCATAAACTGAGATGTAAAGATGTCAAAACAGGGCATTATTAGTTTATGTTATTATTTCTCTTTCTTAGACATTCACTTGCTAGTGACTAAAAAAAAATCAGTTACAGGAAATAAATACAATTTGTCATTTTAGAATCACACATGATACATATTTGTTAAAAAATGCATGTATGTTCTGCGGTGGGACAGTGTAATTTTCTTTCTCCAAATCTGCTTTGAGTAGTATTTCTTACACAAAGTTTCAGAAAGTCCACATGAATGCTTTTGTTTTGTAGAGCACTCTTAGCATCTTAGCATTTGTGATTGTTTGGGGTTTTTTTTCTTCAATTTCTGCTTTCCAGTGGGATACACTTGTAATATTTCATTGATAAAACGAACAGTGTGTCTTTTTGCTGACTTTTAACCTTTCCTGTAGCAGAAGATTGCAGATGTATGGAATATTTAGTGCTGGTGATCTAAGAAGGAGACCTTGAACTGCACCATTTTCATCAGCTATACCAAAGGGGAAAGAGCAAAAGCTTGTTTTTATTACTAAGCTGAGTGAATATGGCATGGAAATATTGTAATGGCAAGGTATCAATTTGTGAAGTGATATATTTCAGAAGGGATAGTAAATTTGATGTGAATAAAAAGTTTTATAAATGGAACATTTAAGAGGCTATCTTTTGCTTTTCAGTGTAGGGTTGCCTTGACATGTATCATTTCAATTTGGCAGCTCCAGCAAATTGATGAAAGTAATTCAGTATGATAATTCAGTATTGCCAAGAGGCTTCTTCTGAGTCTAGTATGGACACATTCCATGGACAAATTTAAAGTCTAAGTGATAGAAAATGGATTTAATTCGGCTCTATATTGTTCCAACTTTACATCAAGACTGTCTTGGTGCCAAAGGTACCTAGAGAGCATATCCAAAGAGTACATGAACGACAAACTAATTGTTAAGTGATGGATCACCTCCAATTTATGGTGCTATATCTTGCATAACAATGATCCAGAACAGACAGGAAGGAAATAAAACTCAAATGTGGTTGCAAATGTACCTTGTTAGAGCACTAATTCTAGGGGTAAGTTCTTAGCTGCAGTTTGGCAGCAGAGTCTGTTATTAAAGTAAATGAGCAACTGCTGAATACTGCAAGTGAAAAATTAGTCTTTGATATTCTCTCCCATGGTGTGGATATTTCTGTGAATATGGTGTAGCATTTGTTTTCTAGAATGCTTTTTTTCCTTGTCACCTGAGTGCTTTTTGCCCCCATGGGAACAAATAAGTCATTGTTTAAAGTAACAAAATTTCTGTCTCCATTATTGAAAGGTGAGAAGGAGAAATGCCTACTAACAAACCCTGACAAGTTCGATAGCATAAGCAATTTTTTTAATTTGTTGCGCTGGGCTGACAGACCTACTCCCCAACTCAGACACAAGACAAAACATTTTCTCCTGTGAAGTTTCCGTGGAGAGAGCAATTCCTTAAGGCAGTTAATCATATGGTGTGCTGCTGTCTGAGGATGTACACTTTACACATTCACCTGTGTTATAGATCACTTGGTTGTCTGGAAGTTCAGTGTTCAACAATACAAAGTATGTGTACTGAAATGCTATTGTTGGAGACACTGTATAACATCACAAGCTTAATTCTGTTTGCTATAAGTCAGTTTAGCTCTTGATTTCATTAAGGTCACAGTAGCAAAAATCCAGTACAAAAGAACTGAGAATTTGGATTTATGTAGGTATGAATGTCTTTGTATAACAAAACCAGCACTAAGATATT